AAAAAAAAAAAAAAAAAAAAAGAAAGTGACTTTGTTTTCAGAAGCTGAAAATGCCCTGGAACTAGATAATGATGATGGCCACATAACACTGTGAATATACTAAATGTCACTGAATTGTGCGCTTTAAATTGTTAACTCTATGTTACAAGTATTCTACCATAATAAAAACACACAAAATTGATGACTTTTAGACCAAATTCCAGCAAATGGAGGGGAAGAATTCATTCTGCATGAAGCATGGGTTTAAGTTTGATTACGTGCAGAAACAACTGCCAGAAAATAATCTCTTAATTGAATACCCTACAGAGAGAGCAAGATTAAAAATCCTGGGAAGTTATTTTAAGGATATACAGTCAATTTATTCTCTATACATTCTAAGTTTTATTCCAAACAAACAAGACCATTGGAAAGCCATCAACATGAGCTTGGATAACAGGGTTCCCTGAAAAACTTCATTAACTAAGTATGGCTTGGTACCTAAACTTTTGCTTCCATTTAAGAATAATTACAGGCATTTTTTCCATGGTTATCACTAGAAAATGTCCATCATTAATAGGTTTTGTTTCAGCTTTCAGGATCAGAAGGTCTTTATCCACCAAAAGCAATCAGGTAGTTTTATTCTGATGATCAATGAAAGTCATGTAACAGACCATCCTTTTTGCCATGTGAGCAGAAAGGTTAGAAATATTTGTGACTCAAATTTAATAATTTCATATATATACTCATAAACACACATATATACTGTTTATATCCTTGCCAACTTTGCCCTATTAATCTTCTATTCCAAACTGGCTTATAGACCTCAACACTAACATCACCTGCAATCTTGTTAAAAATGTAAATTCTCAGGCCCTATTCTATGTTTTAACAAACTTTCCAGGTCATTTTTATGTACACTAAAGTCTGAGAACCACTGTGTTACACTGTTTCCTTTAAGTTTATTGTTACATATTTCTATTGTTCCATTTTAAATGTAAGAGTCATTAATCTCATAAAATTCATTGTAACATAATATATAGAATGACTTCAACAACTCACATAGGATTTCTTCATTTTCAGTTTATCTTGGTAAAATGTAGAAATCTCCAAAGGTATAGCTGGGATAGGAAAAAAAGGAATGAAATCACTGGAGGTACAAAATGTCTTACAACTCCTAGATTTGCCTTCTTAAAAAGCTGTACATATCACATGGGTAAAATGCCTCTGAGTGAATACGCTTTTCACCCTAAACAAGAGTCAGGAAAGGACACCTTAAAGAAGCACCTACATGCCCATTTATGACTGTGATATGATCATGTGGAGCTCGGAGGTATAATTCTTTACTGAATGAATGTAACTGTTTTCTTTTTTTTTTTTTTTT